TCTCTCTCTCTCTCTCTCTCTCTCTCTCTCTCTCTCACACACACACACACACACACACACACACACACACACACAGAGTCTCTCTTCACGTGCCTGCCCTGCCTCTCCACGTGTGCGCAGAAGGCTTGTGTGTGTGTGTGTGTGCATCTTTCTTTCTTCTTTTTGTTTTTAATAATCAACAGCCTGTGTCTGTATGTCTGTCATGCTTTTCTTTTCTTTTCTGCTTTTCGTTTTTTGCGTCTTTTATGTCTTCTGTCTGCTCGCGCAAGCGTGCGTGCGTGTGTGCGTGTGTGCGCGCGTGGGTGTTTGTGCACTTGTGCATGCGTGCGTGTGATGCTCTCTGTGGGTATTTGCATGAGGGCCTACTCGCACAAGGACTTTTTCGACTGAGCTCTGGACTTCATTGCGGTCAGATTCATCCAGGTCTGGCCGTAATTGCAGCCAGATACATTTCGCAAAAAGTGCAAATGTGAGTATGCCCTGAGCTGCTTTCGGGAAGGGAACAAATAGTCGTTGTTGCTGTTGAGTCCTTTGTCCCTACCTGCCTCCACAACAGTGGCATCTACGTAATCTTCGTCTTCCTCAGAGAACTCCTCCTGCACGCCGCCATCTCCACCATCGCCGGCAGCTGCTCGACGAACCAGAGAACAGCTTCTGCGATTCCGATGATGAAAACCCCCTCCTCTCCTAGTTGTCTCCAACCTCGAAGCGCAACGTTGCGCACCATGCAGATCCCGGTTTCTGCTCATCTTGGTCAAGGAACCACCATAAACCTGTCGCACATTATCCATTGGCCAAAAATAGCTCCTCATGCTCATGCTCATGCTCATGCTCATAATTAGATGATGATGACCTCTTCTACCTCTCATTTTGTCGACGAGGCACAGAGAAGAAGAAGAAGAAGAAGAAGAAGAAAACGAAGAAGAAGAAGAAGAAGAAGAAGAAGAAGAAGAAGGGGAGGGGAAGATGTCGTCATAGCCAAGGACGGACATGAGAAGGGGGGCAGCCTCAGAGGCCGACAGGTCAGCGCTACCAGTGGCAGTCATCAGCTCCACGTGCGAAATGATGGCCCTCTTCACGTGGGAAGACCAATTAGCCACGTGGCGACTCCAATGATTATCTCTAATATCCATTGTGCACCCCAAACTTATTCCCGTGTTTCTCACCATAACTAGCGCCATCTCTCTCTCTCTCTCTCTCTCTCTCTCTCTCTCTCTCTCTCTCTCTCTCCT